GAAGTACACCGCTTTCGGAACCCTCCGCGGGCATGGACATGGACGCGAGGACAAGGATACTCTTCGAAGGAGGACAATTGTCGCCGTGCGGGGGGTGCGGAGAGACACCTGAAGGAGGACAGGGACGCACCACAAGGAGGACAATTGTCGCCGTGCGTGGGGTACGGAGGGGCACCTGAAGGAGGACATCGAGACGCCGTCGGCGGCCGGTAAACAGGATCGAAGTACCCCTAGGACGGAAACATTTGTCCTCATTATGGCGACCACAGACCTCCTCGTAGGGTGAACTTTTGGCGATCTTCATAAAGCGGACAATTGTACTCTCTAGCTTTTACAGTGTACCTGAGTATACTTTATCGTGATATACTTTATCACAAACAGCTGTGCTTGACACATTTCTTTAAAACAAAATTAATCTGTTAAGAACCAAGCCACTTACATACCATTTACTCGGGCTTTCTTTTTAGCTTCGGCGCTGTACTCCCATAAGCGCGCATGCAGAAATGCACCGCATTTGAGGAGTTCACTAATTGAATCGTAGCTCTCCACTTCCCGTAGTAAAATGACGGAGGCATTTTAAAATTAAAGTTGGTCGACATGTTATTAAAGGAGTAGAAGCCCTGTATAGGTAGTATTGTATTAGTGATTCCATTGACAAAAAAGACTCCAGTCAGGATCTTTCCGAGTGCTGAATCACTTGATATTTTTCTGTATACTTGAGTGCTGTACTCACATGAGTTCTCATTAGTACACGGTGAATACAGAGCGCGCAGAAGAAAACACGGAAGAAGTACAAGGCCCATGATTTGTCAAGAGGCTCGCCACAGTACTCCGCGTGAGTGGCGCGGGAAACCACTCACCGAGTCACGAGCCCTTTTTTGTTCTTTCACAAGTCTTCTCCATGCTCTCACCGAAATAGTCCAAATATAAGCTGTATCTTATGTTTGGACGTTGTAATTGGGCGTTACTTGTGCCATTTCAAATGAAAACTGCTATGACTACTTTTGAAATATTTTGTTCTCGAACTTCGATATAGCCTACCCCGCCTTTATTGGGCCTCGGAAGTGTTCGATTCCTTTGTAAAAA